TTGAATTCTGAAACATATTTAAAAGGTGTACATCTACAAATTGCTTTATAAAAAAAAATGTTTACCTATGATTGCAAGCAGCCAACAATGCAATACTATATGTTTTCTTGTAGTTGAAAAATAATGAGCCAGAATGTGGAGGAGCTCTAATGAGGATGTGCTTACCATCCACAGCACCAATACAGTTTGGCAAATTCCAATCCCGCTCAAAACCCTTACTTATATTTCTCCAAACTTGTTGAACGGGTGGGCGTAAATATATTGGGGAAAGAGTATTGTATATAGCAGAACAAGTATTATATACTATTTGACGAGCAGTTGATTCTCCTATCCTGTGTTGAATGGCAAGAGAAATGATTTCATCTCCAGAGGCTAAGTACCTACACACAGTTTTATAATTATACCTAAGTTTTTGATAGAGAAAAATTTTATTTGTTTGTATAAAAAATTTAACTTATACAGTCTTACCTGATTGTTAATATAAGTCGCTCTTCTACAGAAATAACATCAACTATTTTCTTTTTGGTAGAGATTTTTCTTACAAGTGTTTCAAGTAAGTGAACGTTTCTAGATCCATTCTACTATATTGAAAAAATAAATCTGGATCTTCTTTCATTTCTTGAAAGGTGGTTGAAAATAATCCTTTCTCTATTCGTGTGCTGTTAATAGGACGAACAAACCACTGCCTACTTTCCCATTTTTTGGATTTTATGTCGCTACAAAATTTCAGGACATTATTTAAATCCATTAAAACTTCATTTAGAAGCTGTAATACATGGGCTAATTTAGTCTTTGTATCATTCATACTTATTTATTACTTTAAGTATTTTTTTGTTTAATAATACATACAAATTGTCTATACAACAGATAACACTTTTGCAAATTTAATGTACAGGTGAAAATAAAAATACATTTCACTTGGAATCGGGGTTAGGTTTAACGTTGATACAAGTATGTATCACGTCGTTTGTATCATATAACTTATCTTGTAGCATATATCACCGTTTCGTGCGGTCGGCTTTACCGACCGAATAGGACCCTGCAGCGGTCGGTACCCTCCTCCAACAGTCGATATACCCTTGTCCTCGCGAAGGTCCGCACCCCTCCTCCCACTTTCCCACCGATCGCGACGACCCGCGGTAGTCGCCCGCGAAGGTCCGCACCCACCCTCCCCCGCAGCGGTCCGATCGGTACCCCCTCCAGCGGCCTGTTCGCGACGACACAAATTCACCCACCCACCAGCGCACTCGCCCCTATATCGCGTTCACTTACATCTAAAAGGGGGAATGGTAAGGGAAAAGGTAAGGGGGAGGATATTAAGTTAAGAAATTTTTTACGATCAAAAAAATAGTTTATTATTATGAGTCCTGACGTACACACCAGAGGTCAATCACTCTCGATGGGCTTCGGGATTCATAGCCTGATAAAAACGCAAGTCAGTAACCTAGGTTAGGGAGGATATTAAGTTAAAAAATCTTTTACGATCTAAAATAGTTTATTATTTATCAAGAGCATAATGTACAATGTCTTTCAAGGCGCACGCCAATAGCTCGCAGTCGACAAGAGACTCGCTGTCGA